ATGGATTAGAGCTTTTATCTCATGGAAAAGCTGAAGTTTTAAGCTAGAATGACAGTTAGATTTTGTGTTCCACTTAGGCTGTAGGAGATAACTTACCCCATCTACCTTCCTTATCCCTCTCTCCTCCCCATGCTTAAATTGCACAAATGGAATTTCACCTTTGTGCTAGCTCTTTAAAGTCTTTAAGTCTATAGCCTAGAAGCGCCAAGACTCTGGGGAAGCTGGACTAAGTAACCTGAGTCTTTGAGAATGAAGGTGCTCTTGGGGGTTGAGCTGGGCTGCTCCTCTGGTACTTACCTTATGCTGTGGAGGTGTGGTTTTTGTTTTTTTTTTTCAAGAGGCATGGATTTTGAACCCATTCAGGAGCAAGACTGCAGGACTGAGTGGAGTTTGGATGGATTGATTTGAAATGGCACAGAAGTGTTTTGAAACCATATGCTAGTGAAGTTTGTCTATAATCCCTAGTCCCTCCAAAAACAATGCACCTCACTCACGCAGGTAGTACACACCTGGAAAGGGCAAGAGAACCCTTAGGGAGCCCCTTTCTTTCATGAGCTCTTATCCCTCAGGACTGACCTGAAGCTGGAAAAACACCAAAATTCCCTTGCAGTGGTATAGCTAGAAAGGCTGCACACATCGTCTCCCCCCAGGGATGGGCCAGGCAGCCAGCCCAGCTAATCCTCCTGTCTGTTTCCTCCTCCCCCAGGTGTATCAGTCACCTCCAGTAACACAGGCGTGCCAGATATCTCGGGTTCTGTGTACTCCAAAACCCAGGTAGGTGCCTGGCTCTGGATAGAAGTGGCAAAGAGATGGACATAGAGGAGATGGAGCTGCAATGATAGAAGCACAGTGAACAAGAACAACCCAAGGAGAGGTGTCAGGAAACCCATCCTACTAGAAAAAGAAAAGAGAACAAATATGGAAGTGAGGGAGGCTAGTTTATTCCATTCTTTGTAAGTATGTAACAGAGTGGGAAAGGACACAACCCCGTAACTAAAGTGAGGCATCTGAATTATCCACAGATTTATATTATGTTCTCCCCGCTTCCCCCCATAAGTAATTAAAAGTTTGACATAAATTATGAGGAGTTATGTTGGAGTGTTTCATGGCCGAGACCTTTAACACTCAAGATACCTCAGTGTGTATTCATTTCTTTTGAAATACCTAAGGAATTCTAATCTCTACCCAACTCCAGGGTAGATTTGTGCTAAGAGTAGTCAGCAGATTTCACTATGTTCATGAGTGATGTTAGATTTTACAAAGTGCTTTCACATCCACCCTCTCATTTGGTCCTTCCAACTGAGAGGTCAGTAGCATCCCTGATTAGGTATGAGAAAACTGAGGCTGAGAGATTGAGTAATTGTCTCAGGATCACACAGCTATCTAAGGGTAGAACTGAGACTGAGACCTGAATATCTGAGTTCAGGTGCAGTGTGCCTTCTATGACACCACATGCTGCTTTCTGAGGGTTGGGATCTTGGGTTCAGAAATTCCAAGGATTAGTTTGCTGATCCCTTTTACTCTCTCTCCTCCCATTCTCCTGGATAGCAGTCCTTTGAGAAACAAGGTTTTCATTCCGGTACTCCTGCTGCCTCCTTCAACTTGCCTTCAGCCCTAGGAAGTGGGGGGCCCATCAATCCGGCCACAGCTGCTGCCTACCCACCTGCCCCCTTTATGCACATTCTGACCCCCCATCAGCAGCCGCACTCCCAGATCCTTCACCATCACCTGCAGCAGGATGGTCAGGTAATAGCCCTTCCCCTCTCTCCCTTCCCTTCCTCTTCCTTCCTGTCCCCTAAAACTACCTCCCCTTTCCTTTTCTTACCCTTCCTCACCACCACCTTCACCCAATCCTCCCCAGCGCCAGCCATGGGCACACAGCACATACAGACACAAGCGCACATAACACAAGCAGCCTGCAAAGGAGATGTCCGAGAAGGGGCCAGATTGAAACCTTTTTTGCCCAGTTCCTTTGGTGCCTTTCTCCTCCACCTCCTCCCATAGCACAGCTGTCCTCATCCCATCAGACCTTGGTCACACCTCCCCTCTTACCTCTCCCAGCCTACCCCTTCCCTGACATTATAGCTTTCCCTTCTAATGGTGGAGTTCTATTGTCAAAGTTTGTCCCTTTATTTTCCATATATCCTGGTTCTGCCTCAGCTACCATATTTGCAGATGATTCTCTGTTGCCAGCGCCAGCAGGAGGAGCAGGTAATTAAACTGAATGATGATATGCTTGAATCCACTCCTTTTCAGTCCCCATTTCACCTCCACAGCCTCAGGGAACTTGAAAAGATTGCACGGTCACAAATCGGGATACACAAACACAAACACCTTGCTGAGCTCTCTGGCCTCCCATTCCTCTCTCGTCCTCCCCTCCTCAGTGCCCTCTTTTTCTTTCTACCCTTCCCCAACTCTGGAAACACTTGGTTACCGGGATGGAAAGGATTTTGGGGCAGCATCTGGAGCCTGGGGCCTCAGACTGTCTCCTACCTTGCCTGAAACGGGCTCACATGTGATGTGTGGTAGGGGCGGGGAGCCATGGGGTGGTGCAAGTGACCTTTCCTCCTCTCCTCATAGGTGGCTGGGGAGCTGGAGTAAGGGCTTCTTGCTCTCAAAGACAGCTGTCCAAATTGAGGCATTCCTGGGGATCAGTGAAAGTGAAACCACCTTGTGATCTCTCATCTCCAAGAGGCCATAACTGTAGAGTAGCCTCTCCTCAGAGCAGGGGAGGGTGGATTTTGGGGTTGGGGAGAAGGTGGAATTGAAAATGAATGGAATTGATTCACTATTTTGTCTCTAACGGTATCTTGCCCTCTTCTCATCTTTCCCTTATTTAAAGTTTGAAAGTGCTTTTTTACTTGTCAGAGGTGCTCCAGCTGCTATATAAACCAAATTTCCTACGGTTGAAAGCTTCAGAGTAAGCTTTAGAGTAGTTTCTAAGCAAGGGGAATGGGAGAGTATGACAATTTCCAAATCTCCACCTGAAGATGTCACAAATTTGTCCCACTAACTAGACATCTTTTTCCTCCCCATTCATCCTCCCATTCCCCTGCAGACGGGCAGCGGGCAACGTAGCCAGACCAGCTCCATCCCGCAGAAGCCCCAGACCAACAAGTCTGCCTACAACAGCTACAGCTGGGGGGCCAACTGAGGCCCTGACCCTCTTCTCCCGGTCCCATCTTCTGAGAGGGCTTCTCAGCCTGGCAACTATGGAAACAGCATCAAAGAGAGAAAGGAATGTGGGGGGGGGTTCCGCTGCCCCCCACCCCCAGCGGCCCACCCCATGCCTCAGCTTCATGTCTGTCCCATTCCCATACCATCCCCACTCTGTTGTATGTATTATAGGATTTGTATTTTCTCCTTTTTTTTTTCTTCCTTTCCTCTCCTCCTCCCCCCTTGCATTCAAGATTATGAAACTTTGCTGTGGGCCCTGCCCTTCCTTCTCCTCCTGTTCCACCTGGTGGTGTGTGGGGAGGTGGAGGAGGGGGACCCCAAATATATATCAGCCCAACAGCCCTAAGTCTCCTCCTTTATTATTAGGAAACAAAACAACAACAACAAAAAATGGCGTCATGAATATGAACAGCATTGTCAGATGAATTAGTTGAAGTGTTTTTTTTTGTACTGTGTCCTCAAATTTAATGGATTACTGTGTCTTGTATATATAAAAAGAAAACCTCTACCTTCAGCCTCTGCCCATTCTTGCTTCGTCTAGGATCTCCTCAGTCTCGTCGATGACCAGCATGGTGAATAAATATTACTGTACCAACTGGGCCTTCCCTAGCAGGCCCCGAAGGCAGTGGAATAAAATGAAATCTTCTCCCTTTAAGAACTCCTCTGACCTTAATGTTCTACTGTCTTGCCCTTGAGGGGATTCCCTTCTCTTCTTCCCTAAGAATTTCACAGCCTGGTGCTAGAATCACTACAGATCTTCATTTCCTCTAGATCTACAGCAGATTTTAGGCAATGGAGGGAATGGTATAGCAGGTACTGGGTGGAAAGGGAGAAAATTATGTAGGAACTGAAAGAAATGGCTTTGTAGAATCAAAGTTTAATTCAGAGATGGATCCAGGCAAATGAACTGGAAAAAATGAGGGCAACATGCACTGTTGGGCTGGCAGAACTTAAGGAGGAGTTCTTGCTTCTTGAGTGCATTCATTTCACATAGCTAATTACCCCTTGAAAAGGAGTCTAGAGCGAGGCTGGCGGGGATTGGGGGGCGGT